CCGACGAGTTATAAAACATCGCGACGGTAGCGTATTTACTATTTCGGGCCTACGAAGACTCGCTCGGCCAGGACTAATCTGTCATCAGTGTCCCTAGGTCCTGTCAACTTAATCCGATTAGTGAGTCAGACGAGTGGTCAAAGGGGCCGCTAGTTATTGCCTGCCCCTGTCTCTTTTGGTGTTCGGCCAGGGCAAAGTGATTTTAATCCGGTTAATGAATAACGTTCCTGGCGAGACAGCAGTGGCTGGTACAACAAGGACAGCGGTAATAAATTCAGCAACAACCGCTTGAGTAACGATCATTTGGATGAATTTCGTAAAATCAAGTGCTTTTTAGTGTCTAAGAGGACATTTCAGTGTATATTTCAGATAAGTAAAACTTTACAATTTATTATCGACTATCTTATGTTGGATAAATTAAGCAATTTATGGATCTTATAGGTCATAATTTCAGTTCTGGCGCCCTTGGTCTTATCGTTGTTGTTAAGCGATGGCGGTAAAGTAGCTATGAGACACGACCATATTAAACTTAGGGCTGATTTTCGCGACGCTACTAATAATTTTATAAATGTATGACACAAACACAACACGCACATGCAATTGTAGTCGTTTGACGCATATCGTATATATTGATATGTGGCACATATACGACTACAGCAAATTATGCTGCCGGTATTTACAAATTTGATATTTCTAAAATTGTTGAGAGGTAGTTCATCAACTGTATTGATTTCGTTCTACTCTATGCAATACCGAATATCCTCAAAATTATAACTATCCAACAAAAACAGTATTTCTACACTGTATGAGTACTTTCAACAATCAATGTGTAATCACGATAAGGCCAAACAATACAGGTGGCAGCTACATTGATAATAAGGTCTATTACTAGATTCTTTGTCGCTATTACCATGATACGTAAGAACATATTTCAACGGCATAGTTGGTGCAGTGTAGACTAATTTTGCAAAAAAAAGGAAAAAGAAAAGAAAAAGAAAGAATTTTCAATAGAACCTGTTTGATACTTCAATGGAATTAAACTTTTTCGACTTGATTTGTGGTATGGCACTCAATCATGCATTTGTCTGTAAAGCAATCATTCACAGATTTGGAAGTTTTTTTTTTTAAATATCATGGCAGGCGGCGACCAATAGACCTCTGAAGCTTTTACGTAAGCAATGCATTGTAGGATATGTTTGGGACAGAACATGGCGGATTTCTTTTGTTTTTTCTTAGAAACTGATCGCAAAATGCATTAACAATCAAGTTGTGACGTCAAAGCTTCAGACGTCTATCTGCACGGGGTCCCAAGTGTAAGGACGCCATTTTGTAAGCGGCAACCAATTTGCAAGGGGCCCACATGCAAAGTGTAAGGACGCCATTTTGTAAGTGGCGACCAATTTGCAAGGGGCCCACATGCAAAGTGTAAGGACGACATCTTGTAAGCGACGACCAATTTGCTTAAGTTTCACAGGCAAAGTGTAGGACGCCATTTTGTAAGCGGCGACCAATTTGCTTGAGATTCACAGGCAAAGTGTAGGACGCCATTTGTAAGCGGCGACCAATTTGCTTGAGTTTCACAGGCAAAGTGTAGGACGCCATTTTGTAAGCGGCGACCAATTTACAAGGTGTAAGGACGACATCTTGTAAGCGGCGAACAATTTGCTTGAGTTTCACAGGCAAAGTGTAGGACGCCATTTTGTAAGCGGCGACCAATTTTCGAGGGGTCCACATGCAAAGTGTAAGGACAAGGTTTTGACAGTGGAGGTTCTTTATATTAACATTTTCTTATATGACCGTGTATACACCTAATTGCAATAATTCTGAGCCACCTACACTAATATTAGTATTACCATGACTAGTGGACTATTGAAAATCCTTCGCTCTGATTGGCTTCGTTACTTGGGGTCTGCCTATTTTCAATAGTCCTCGAGTCGAGTCGACGACTAGAGTAAAGCGACACCCTTTTTGCATGCATTATCAGCTCGTAGTCCACTCGCCCTCGATATCCAATTGTTAAATATTAAACTGACCTTTAATATTATGGTATATCACGACTGATATATATATTTTCCGGTTGTCCAGAATGAGCAACAATCTAAAACTCAAATAATATGTGATCTACAGGTCTTATAACCGCATACATGGAAAAACCTAGACCGCTGTCGGGAAGTACAGACCGCCGAACCGAGGCAGCGAGACTGCATGACTGACAAAGGTCTAGATTTTTCTATCTAGAACAAGTAAAGCTCGGTTAATATGATAAACTGATAAACAGGCAGCGTTCGAAAGCTCAATTTATTTTTGAGATGCTTGCGCTATTGCATTATATTTTAAAGCGCCTGTGCATCTCAGAAATTGTCTTATAATATTCTCACACGTATTTCCATAACCACAAAAACACTTCTTGAACAGTGATACAAAATTGCGGTCTTGAAATACACTATCTTTTTCAAGGCTGTTGCAAGGTTCGATGGCATTAAAAGCAAGCATAATCTTCATTTTAACAGAATATAGGTTAGTTTTAAGTCCTCCAGGTCCTCCAGGCCCCGTCCACACGTATCCACAACAGAAATCTCCGGACACACTATGGACGGTCGCAGACGTACGTCTTCACGCAGATCATCCAGTCTTTTGTCCGGATAAAAAACACAAATCTCTGGAGTCGTAAGGACGGGGCCTATACCAGGACTTATAGCAATGTCGCACTATAGTTTAGTAAATATTGACTGATAGTATTTTTTCATTAAAAAATTACTTAATCTTAAAAAAATGTGAAGTATCTTAGGTGTTGTCTGTAGGGCGTGGTTTATAAAGGAGAACAAGCGCGTAGAAGGAAAGCGCTTTTACGGGCAGGCGAAAATCAGAAAATGGAGACAAACTTATCAGCATAGAAAATCCTTCCTTGCTTCTTCTCGAGAGGAATGGGTCTTCATCAATGAAACAACCCTCGAATTATCGGTGACGTCACACTCAACTTATACTTGAAGAAAAGCTGTGTTACAAGCGAGAAACGACTGACCTGCAATCTCTAGGTTTCTAGAGAGAAGTTTGTCGATCCAGAACATGCTTCCATTGGAGAGAGTAAATGAACAGATAGCTGTATATATTTCAAAATTTATTCATTAAAATATATCTTTATATTAATGCTTCTACATTGATCTACGGGTAAACTATGAGATTCTACTAAACGAGTTAATTCATTTCCTCGATACCCAGGAAACAAACGACAACCCTGGGTTCCGGAGAATGGTAACGAATGCATCGATTATATTTTTCAGCCGCGGTTACGAATAAGATATAAGTGTGGTTGATGTGGTTACCCTTCCATCTACCTATACAGTGCCTATTTCATTTTCTAATATTCTAAAATAATTGTACGTCATGAGTGGGAAGGGCTAATTTTGAATTTCAGATAAAAAATCGTTTTCAGGGAAAATAGCTTTGATCTCAACATAGGAAGCCCGATTCCAATCTTTCATTTACAGACAGTGAATTGTTAATAATTGCAATCGCAATATTGTTTGATTACGTGAGGAATTAGCCTTTGAGTTTGTAAATAATGTTGCCCAGCAGTTGCCATATACTTGTGAACGACGGGCGATCCTCTTCCCTGTAAATGAACGCACGAATGAATGAAATAACAACAGCGACAACAACCACACATGGACATAGAGAGAAAAAATGACAAAGGAACGAGACGATGAGTAGAGCGACAAAAGGAAGGGAGAAAACAAACGGGGAAGGAAATGAGAAAGGCGGAAAAGGGAGAGAATGTGAAGAAAACTTTGGAGGAGCAGAAAAGGTGCAAAGATATAAAGGAAGATGCCAGGAAGGAAGACCAAGTAACTTACTGGTATTCCCAACAGTTTTTCATAATCTTGTACACTTCACTTGGTACGTGCATAGGACATGGTAGTCTGTATCCATTCTCCAGTTTTTGGATGATTATTTGTCCATTAATTCCCTACAAAATATTAAGTAAATTCAATACCGTTCAAAATAGACCTTTAAATAGAAGCATCCATATAAACTAGATAAAATGATTACGTTTTCTTGTCAATGTAATAATAATAATAATAATATTTAATATTTATATTGCGCATGTTCTATAAAATGTTCACATGCGCATAACTAATGCAAGATAGTATACATATAATAATAGACATAATATGACAATTTAAAAGATAAACTAAAAATGATATTTAAGAAAATGATGATTTAAATAAATGTAATCATGCTGCAACAGTTTTTGGTACTTATTTTTCAGATACACGTACCTCTTCTGATGAAAAAACCTTTAATTGATATTTGTGAAGATCTTATAACACCTATATGACCTATGTTTCACACTTTAGTACTCTATTACTTGGAGACAGATAGAAAAAACAACAAAACAAGATGGCGGTCAACACGTTTTTACTATACACATGAAACGTGGGCCCAACACAGGGATCCCAATATTAACATCCCTTCTTCTTTGCAAAATAGTAACATGAACTAATTAAAGGTAAATATATCTATAATGTTCAATGTCATTTCGGTGCGATTACTGTTTTCCTGTGATGTAGTCTTGTAAGTAGGAAGGTGTCTTGGTAGCTCTGTTAGACCTTCTCACACTTTCATCAGCAATTCTTGATTGCTTTGCAGGTAGAGATGGTTGATGTACGGGTTGTTGGTTTGTGGTCGAGGTAACAGGTGTATCGACTTCAGGAGTTTCCTTTGATACTGGTGCTGTTGGGTGGTTCTTTGGTGATTGTGTAATTGGTGGTGGAGGTTCCAATGTCTTTCTCAAGTGAACTCTGTTTCTTCTAACTGTTCCWGTAGATGATTCAACTTCATAAGACCTTTCGTCGAGTCCCCTGATCACTACTCCTTTATCCCATACTTTGTGACCAAGTTTGAATGGCTTTAGTCGAACAGCATCACCTTCTTCCAAGCTTTTGAGTTCTCTTGCACCTTTGTTGTATTGCTTGGTTCTTGCTGTGTTTCATCTTAAGACTATCAACCAAGTACTCACTTCCTCTTGGTGCAAGATTGTTGTGTGTTGTTGGTATCAGTGTTCTTGTGCGTCGGTTGAGTAGCCTTTGGGCTGGGCTACTCCCTGCTCCTTGCGTTGGAATGTTCCTTATCTCCAGAAGTGCAATGTAATGGTCAGTGCTGGATGCCATGCATTTGGTGAGCATGGTCTTGGCAGCTTTCACTGCAGCTTCCATCCTACCATTCGCATTTGAGTGCTGAGGTGACGACGTACAATGTTCAAAATTCCAGTTTGATGCGAAATCAAGAAATTCCTGCGAGGCAAACTGTGGACCATTGTCACTGATAAGTGTACAGGGAATCCCATTTCTTGCGAAGTGGTGTTTCAGCTTGTTGATTACAGAAGTCGAAGTAGTTGATTTAAGGTAGTCGATTTCCCAGAATCCACTGTAATAATCCACAGTGACTAAATATTCTTTGTTCTTTAAGGTGAAGATATCAGCTCCAACCTTTTCCCACGCGTATTCTCCCTCAATGGGCATCAGTGGTTCCTTCTGCTGTGATTTGGTATATGTTTGACAGGCTTCGCATGAATCTGCTATCTGCCTGATGTCAGATGCCATGCCAGGCCAGAAGAGGCATTCACGTGCTCTTCTAAGCATACTATTACCACCAAGATGTGAGCTGTGAAGCTCTTGAGGATAACCAGTGTGTCGTCAGCCTTAGTGGCATGTTGCATTTCTCTTTGCTTTTGCTCGCTGATTTTGAGATGACGAACTGCATTGATTCGAGCAAAACAGTCCTTGTGATGAGGATCAAGGGGGAGATATGCCCTTGATAGCATGTCGGCAAGATACATCTCTTTGCCTTTTTTGTAGACGRCKTYGATGTCGTACTGTAGTAGTCTTAGTAGCATTCCTTGGAGGCGTTTCGGTGCTTTACATAGTGGCTTCTTGACAATCATTTCCAGAGGCTTGTGATCTGTGTACACGATTGTCATACGACCAAACGTGTATTGTTGAAACCTCTCAAGTGAGAATACCGTTGCTTAACACTCCTTCTCGATCTGAGCATATCCACACTCGGTTTCAGAGAGTGCTCGACTGGCATAGGCCAGAGGATGATCGCCTTGAAGCAGGGCAGCTCCAAGCCCAGTGCTTGATATGTCACATTGAATGATTAGTTCCTTCGCAGGATCATAATATGACAGTACTGGAGCTGTTGTGACAAGATGCTTGAGTTCAATCATGGCTTTCTATTGTTCATCAGACCATTCCCATTGTTGACCTTGATGAATGAGTCGTCTCAAAGGTTCCATTACAGTAGACAATTTGGGTAGAAATTTTGCAAGATAAGTGACAGTTCCCTGCAGACGTCGGATTGCTGCAACATCTGTTGGGCTTTCCATTTCCAGTATCGCCTCAATCTTCTTTGGATCTGGCTTAAGGCCTTGGTTTGTGACGAGGTGACCAAGAAATTCAACTTCGGTAGTTTTGAACACACTCCTTTCCTTGTTGGCCTTGATGTTCTTCTGTTGGCAGGATGCAAGTAGGATTTCTAGGTTCTTGTCATGAGATTTCTAAGAGTCTCCATACACAAGTATGTCGAAAGATCACGCCTTGCAGTCCTTCTAGGGACTCATTGAGCTTGCGTTGAAATATTTCTGAACTAACGTTCAGACCAAAMGGGAGACGTAGCCATCTGTATCGGCCAAATGGTGTGATAAACGTGGTTAAGTGACTACTTTCTTCATCTAGTAAACAATGCCAGTAACCGTGTGATAAATCGACCTTGCTAAAGAACTTGGCATTTGCTAGCTCAGGTAGGACATCATCAAGAGTGAGAAGTGGATATCTTTCACGTCGGAAAGATTCGTTCAACGATCGAGGATCTATACAGAGTCGCAATTTGCCATTCTTTTTGGTTTGGATTGACATCTGGGAACACCAATCGGTCGGACTTGTGACTGGCGTTATGACTTGCCTCTTGACTAAGTCGGAGARTTCCTTTCGGAGTTTTGGCTTTGTTTCGTGTGGCACCTTTCGAAGTGGACATTGCACAGGCTTTGAATGTTCATCAATAGCAATGCTGACATTGCCAGGAAAGCATCCAGGGTTTTGTCATCAAAGAGGCATATTGGATGAATAGGTTATCAGCGAATGCGAACGGCGAATGCGAACAGCAAAGAAACGATGCCAACATTGACATACTCAGGGTACAAGAGCACCGAATCATCCTTCCCGACCCCAACAACATTGAGTGCAGGACAACTTCCTCACCATACTTGGAGACTTTAACGCTAGGATTGGCCCTGAGGTAGCTCCACACACCTACCATGACGCTACCAATAGAAATGGCTCGTACATGGCCGACCTTCTCCTTGAATTTGGTCTTCTGGCTGCTAATGGTCAATTCCAGAAAAGACGAGGGAAGCTATNACGGGGAAGCATGGAAACTAGTCAACCGGGTGACTGGACGTAAGAGAGCAAAAGAAGGGCAGGTCTCGGGCAATAGCCCTGAAGAACGAGTAACAACATGGTTTACCCACTTCCAGAAGCTTCTGGGGGAACCCCCTACAGTAGAAGACCCGGAGGAGGAGATACCAACTATCTATGCAGACCTTGAAATCAACGATGAACCCTTCACTCTCGACGAATTCAGAAGAGTAAAGGCTTCCCTCCAATTAGGGAAAGCGGCTGGGCCAGACAACATCCCCCCCGAGGTCCTCAAATCCTGTGACTTTGATGAGATCTGCCTGAATTTTTGTAACAGGGCCCTAWTGGAGTGCGACAAGCCTGACCTGTGGTCCCTCATGAATATCATCCCTGTCCCAAAGTCGGGTGACCTGTCCAACACTAACAACTATCGAGGCATAAGTCTGATGTGCATACTAGCAAAGATGTTTAATAAGTTGATACTCAACCGAATAYGCAGCGTCATCAACCCTAAGCTACGCACGAACCAGAATGGCTTCCGTCCCGAACGCACTACAGTTGCGCAGATTCTTACACTTCGAAGGATAATTGAAGGGGTGAAGGCCAACAACCTTCCAGCCATTATCACCTTCATTGACTTCAAAAAAAGCGTTCGACTCCATCCACAGAGCAAAAATGATGCGTATCCTAAAGGCCTATGGCATTCCTCCTAACTTGTTAAGAGCAATTGAATCAATGTATACAAACACGAGGGCCAGAGTTTCGACACCTGACGGAGTGACAGAACAATTTGACATCTCTGCTGGAGTCCTCCAAGGAGACACACTCGCGCCGTTCCTATTTATCATCGTGCTTGACCATGCTATGAGGAAAGCATTGTCGGACGGGAAGGAAGATGAATTAGGTTTCACTATAACTCCCAGAAGATCCAGAAGGTACCCAAAAGTCGTTCTTGCCGACCTCGATTTCGCAGAKGACATTGCTCTTCTGTCTGATGCCATCATACAAGCCCAAGAGCTCCTCCTCAGAGTTGAGACAGAATRYAGCAAAGTAGGGCTTGGWTTGAATGRTCCCAAAACAAAGTACCTGGCCTACAATATAGACGTACACACTCCWCTAGTAACCAGATCAGGAACTGTGTTGGAGCAAAAAGACGATTTCAAATATCTTGTCTCCTGGGTTGATAAGTCGATAAAAGACGTCAATATCAGAAAAGCACTAGCCTGGAAAGCCCTCAACGACATGAGCAACATCTGGAAGTCCACTATGAATCCAGTCTTGAAAAAACGATTCTTTGTTGCCACAGTCGAGTCAATCTTGCTGTATGGATGTGAAAGCTGGGCCATGACGGAGTCTATGGTGAAATCACTCAGTGGTGCCTATACCCGTATGCTGAGGAAAGCCCTGAATGTGCACTGGAGCTCCCGCACTACTAATGATGAAGTGTACGGAGAGTTACCRAGGCTGGATGTGAAGATTGCTGAGCGCAGACTACGTCTGGCAGGACACTGCTACCGCCACCCTGAACTAAGCACCCAAAAATTGATCCTGTGGGAACCAACTCACGGAACGCGGTCCAGAGGAAGACCTCAATCGAATTATGTAGAYACCCTCAAGCGCGACACAGGGGCAATCAGCTCACACGAGCTGGCTACGTTGATGGAAGACAGGGTCGTTTGGAGTGCCATTGTCAAATCTCGGAGTCATCCGCCTAACTAACTAAATAAACTAATTTCAGCATAGATGGGACCAGATGATACTGAATTGACAGTTTGAGGGGTCGAGATGGCAGAAATTATTTCTTCATCTGAAGAATAACCGGTTAGCTCAGTAGGTATAGCATCGGACTTTAGTGCGGGAGGTCGCAGGTTCAAACCCCGGCCGGACCAACACTCAGGGTCTTAAAATAATTGAGGAGAAGTTGCTGCCTTTTTGTCTTTCTCCATCTGCAAATGGTAAGATCTTCTCGTCCTCTCGTTTAACGACGTAAAATCGGAGGTCCCGTCTCTCTACACTTCACTCACTAACCTGTATTAGAGGGACGTTAAAGAACCCACACCACTGTTCGCATAAGAGTAGGGAATGATTCCCGGTGTTTGTGGCTAGGCCTTACTACTAACCCATACTAATTACTAACCCCTCATGATTGTAAGCCGCGTGGCTGCCAATTGCGCCTTAAACAGCGGTCCGTGTGAAATGATCTATACATGTGAAGCGCCTTTGAACTCAGAGGATATCGGCGCTATATAAATACCACTTATTATTATTATTATTAAGAATCAGAAATGGCTTCCACACCATGGACTTTCTTCTTTACAACAGGAGGACAGCATTTGCTGAAATGATGTAGTGCTTTGCATTTATTACATTCTTTGCCCCACGCAGGGCAAAGCTCTTTCTTAGGTTGGTGTTATTGAGCACAGAACTTACATTTGATCAGTTTGGGACGTGGTTTCCCTCTGTGAGGTCGAGAGCTAGACGTTGACTCACGTGTCGCTCCTTGTTTAGACTTGTGTTGTATTTTGTTGACTACTGGTGATGAGCCAGCAATGACTTTGAGTTGAGTTGTTGACATCTCAAAGCTTATGCAGATATCTAAGCAGGCGTTTAGCGTTAGCTTTCTTTCTTGTAAGAGACGAGTCCTTGTCGTTTCGCTGTTGACRCCCAGGACGATCCTGTCKCGAAGAAGAGTGTCTTTGAGACAGTTACAGTAGTTGCAGGTTTTCATGAGAGACTTGAGTGCGGCTACGTAGTCAGCAATCGATTCGTTTTGGCCTTGAATTCGTGTGTTGAATTTATACCTTTCGAATGTCTCGTTTGGTTCACCAATTATGTAGTTATCAAGCTTCCTGATGATGTCTTCAGCCGTATCTGTGTCTTTTGGATCGTTGTCATTATATTTTTGGAGCGCTTCCATTCCCATAGTTGAAATTAAGACAGACTTTTTGATTGTGGCTGGTTGAGCATCGAGATTAGAAGCGATGCAATAGTGTTGCCACAACTGCTTCCAAAGCTTCCAATTACTTGTATCTTTTCCAAGTTTCAGAGGTTCTGGAGGTTTAACAGAGAAATTAGGTCGTGGAGAAGACGTCACCGCCGTGGATTGTTGTGACGAACTGCCACTCGCGCCAGAAGTTGTCGAGTAGCCGTCATTCGTCATGTCGAGGGTTTTTCTCTAAGATTCTTTTGCTGAGTCGCTCGTGAATACTTTAGAGGCCAAGAAATCCCGTAGCTGCCACTTTAGCACTCTATTACTTGGAGACAGAGAGTCACAATAACACACAATATTCAATTTTTATTTACCTTGTACGGTCGGGCACCATAGGATGTTGCTTCCCATAATGTAACACCATAGCTCCACACGTCACTTTTACTGGAAAACTTCCTAAAGTAGATGCTTTCAGGGGCACACCATTTTAGGGGCCATATTCCAGCAGTTTCTGCCTGAAATTTTAAAATAATTGCCAACATTACAAAGTGCAGAATCACAAAAATAAAATGAAACATTGATGTATTAATATAAATCTTTTTCTTAATGAAAGTGACAGTTTTACAAGTTTTGCAGTTTGCAAATTCCAGAGTATATGTGATAACAATGCATGTTGCTATGAACGAAGAGATTTTCCAGTAAGTGTTTTTTACCCTGTAATAATCACTGCCTGATCCCATAGCACGTGACATGCCAAAGTCACTTATCTTTACAAAACTTTCATTCACAACAAGAACATTCCTTGCTGCTAAATCACGATGTACAAATTGTTGGGCTTCCAGATACTGCATTCCCTGAATAGGTAATATAATGACAAAATTGTCAAGAGTTCTGTAAATTCAACAGACCTAAGCAAGTTTTATCTTAGTTTTAATAATGTATTGCTAATGTCAGCACTAAAGTCAAAGCCTTTTGGAATAAGAAAATTACATGTATTCAGGTCTACACGTAGGTAATTAAATACAAGAATACATTTTAAGGATATTAAAAGTAGTTATAAAACTGATCATTTATTCATAAGGCAAAACACAATTATAGAAATCATTATAAGCCCATGAAGACAGTTGTATATTACATACAGATTTCTTGTTCATTTGCATAAACTTGAATTTTTTTTCAAAAGTTTCTTTAAAACCTGAGCTAGTTTACCTCAACGTTTCATAAGTAATAAGTTTAGATCTTGAAATAAAGTTAATCAAAAAGACAAACGCAACTAGATTCATTTTTGCGACGTTTCGACATCCTCTGATGCCATTCTCAAGCAATTTAGAATTTATTACAACTGAAGAGCTATATATACACATGAAACAATAGCGAAAAACAATAAGATAAAATATACAAAGTATTGTTCTAAACAAATAGTTTCGCGCGCACGGAGTCTGATTGTACATTGAGTGTTGGCTTAAGTGATCTTATATAAAACATCTCATTTATTAAGCAATCAAACTTGCTCGTGCATTTTTTAATCACAGTAAAACTGTCTGTAGGTGGAACAGTCTTAAGACCGTGTTCTAGGAAGCGATGTTTTCCAATCGTTGAGTAACGGTGCTCATCAATTCGCTGGTGTAAGTGACGTGCTGTGTAGCCAACATAGCTTGCATCACACAAACCACATTGAAACTTGTAAATAACGAGTTGTTGGCTGACAAGTGGAGGCTTTGGTTCTTGCATTTTAAGCATATCATTGAGCTTACGACTTACGAAAATAGCTTCCAGATTAGAGTCCAGTTTTTTGTTGAGCTGAGTAAGTTGGCGTTTGACTATGTCGGCTGGTTTTTGGTCAATAAAAGGCAAAACTATCCTAATGGTGTTATCTGATGCATCTGATTCAGGTTGCTCACTTCTACTGGTAGGTGGATTCTTGTTGAAATAGGTGATAGCAGACTCAATCATCTTATTAGGGTAATTCAACTTGCTGAAAACCATTCTTATATTTTCGCATTCATTTTCGTAGGCTTCTTTTGTAGAGGAAAGATTGTGAGCTCGATGTAGCATTGTTCTGATCAGCGCTTTTTTATATCTAACGTCAACATGACTCTGGTAGTGGAGCAATAGGCCCTTGTTTGTGGGTTTCCTGTAAACACTTGTTTCTATCTTATTTCCACATTTGTTGAGTACCATACCAAGAAAAGGTAGGGAGTTATTATCAGCAATCTCCATGGTGAATTGAATAGAAGGGTGGCAGCTGTTTAGTGTTGTCAATAACTTTTGTGCTTCTGAGATATCTTTAATAACGACAACGGTATCATCAACATAACGCTTGTAAAAAGATGGCAGTTTATTTTTGTTGTTTAATTCCTCTTCGACATAGCACAGGAACGTATTAGCTAAAAGGGGTCCAAGTGGGGAACCCATAGCTACACCGTCATTTTGTTCGTATAGATTACCATTAAACTGGAACAGCTGGTCTTTGGTTGCTATCTGTAATAGCTTGGTGAGATTTTCCTTAGAGATGTTCAAACCATTTGTACTCCAGAACCAGTTCAGAATCATGTTATCAGATTGATTTTCTTTGCTAATTCCTATGGAAAAGAAACAGAAAGTGCAAAACCTTTGCTAAATATTCTAAATATCTTAAATGTTGATAATATATATCGACTGCATATTTTCCAATTTACACATCTATGGCATTGTGGGGCTTTACCAAACATATTTAATCACATGTTTGAATACGCCAGCAATGTTCATAGATATAATACAAGATATGCCAGCAAACAAAATTTTTATAAAGGAAAAGCGAGAACAAATATAGGCAAACAAACTATATCCTTTATGGCTTGTGATCTCTGGAGTGTACTACCAGTACATCTTAAATGTCAAAATCCGTCTTCCTTTAAGAAAAAATTGAAAGAACACTTACTGTCCACTCAGTACCTATAACTGTTTCGCTTTATTTCTACAACAAAAATTGTTATATATATATTTAAAATTATATATTCCTCTTTAATCTCCCTAAATTAATCTCATATTGTCTCCTTAACTTACCATATCATTTCAAACTATTGTCTACCTTGTTCGTTCTTTATTTTATACTATTATGTAAGTAGCTTTTGTAAGTAACTATTATTGTAAGTAACTATTGTGTAAGTAATTAATTGTATATTCTTTTTTCCTTATGTTTTATTGCTTTTTTCCTTGCCTGTAACAACCAATGTAACACTAAATAACAGGGGGCTAACTAGAAAACTTATTAGTTAATTTAGACCTCTGGCTCTCGTTCTTTTACATAAATTTGCAAATTCTCTATACCTATTTATCTTTTTATTACAAGCACCTTTTTTCTGTTAAGTTAAAAGCAAAAAAGAGCAATAAAACAGTTTCAGTTTCAGTTTCAGTTTCAGTCATCCTTGAAAGCTTTCTCAACCAGTATATCGATAGTGAAATCAAGAGGTACGTTAGTAAATAAGGACGTTACGTCATATGAAACCAATATGTCGTCAGGATGAAAAGACATATCCCTTAGCTGCTCTGCAAATTGAAAGGTGTCGGTGATTGTAAAGTCGTTGATGGACAACGCTTTGAGCTTTTCATCTAGCCACTTAGCTAAAGGGTAGTTATACGTAGCGGTTKCAGATAAGATTGGTCGAACGGCAAGATTCTTTTTATGCGTCTTCGGTAAGCCATAGAGGTGAGCAAGACGAGAGCCTTTCAAGCACAAACCATCAGCGATGTCMTTAGGGAGTATCTTACGGACAACTGCGTCGAGTTCCTTTTCTTTTTGTAAGAGTGGGTGATAGTGTTTTATAGGACGACCACGCGCTTTAGGTCTTTCTGTGCTGACAGAAGAGAACTTTTCACAATTGGACACAGAAGCTTCAGATAGTAGATGTATATACTCGGATTTATCCATGATAACTACTCCAGATCCTTTGTCAGGTTTAGTCACTACAATGTCTTTGTTACGCTTCAGTTGGTTGATAGCTTTGTTTAAAGACTTAGGAATTCTGTGAGATTTACAATTACTGTAATTTAATGCAATCGATCGAAGAGTGGCTGTGGCTAAACACTTATCTTCCTCTTTTAGGGTGGGTTCGARACGCCAATATGCTTTCTCAAAACTAACTTGGATGTCGTTGAATGATACTTTTTGTGGTATGGCAAATTTAAGGCCACGGCATAGAACAAGCTTTTGGAAGAAAGTTAGTTCATGTGCTGAGATGTTGTTTATATTAGTATCCACGTCGTTTTGAATGTTAAGTTTGGAGATCTTTTTCGTATGCTTGCTAGCTACTATTTCCTTTTGCTTACTGCGTAAGCAGCACATCACCCGAAGGATCCATAAGTAACGTAGATGTGAACACCTTTCACGAATCTCATCGTAGATCTTAATCAACTCCCCTTTTAGTCTTGCATTCTTCTTCACGTTCTGTCGTATTTCCTCTTTGATGACATTTTGACTAAAATCCGCTAAAATCCGCGCACGGAGTCTGATTGTACATTGAGTGTTAAGTGATCTTATATAAAAGATATCATTTATTAAGCAATCAAACTTGCTCGTGCATTTTTTAATCACAGTAAAACTGTCTGTAGGTGGAACAGTCTTAAGACCGTGTTCTAGGAAGCGATGTTTTCCAATCGTTGAGTAACGGTGCTCATCAATTCGCTGGTGTAAGTGACGTGCTGTGTAGCCAACATAGGCTTGCATCACACAAACCACATTGAAACTTGTAAATAACGAGTTGTTGGCTGACAAGCTATGTTGGCTACAAGATCTAAGATCTAAACTTATTAATTTCCAATGTTGTCGATTAATCTGATAAAATTCAATAAAATCGCAGTGAAGCGGCATAACAACAACTCAATTATCAAGCGTCGTATGCTCTGTGAAAATAAGCACCTTGCAGTTAAATACAAGCGAGATATTTACAAAAAACTTTTTCAACAACCGCTCAGATATCAAAATTTCAAGTACTTGTAACCTACTAACCTAACTACTCACTTTTTGATAAAATTGAGCTCGTGGAGAAACTTTAAATATAATGGAACTCAGAAGGGTTTTACCGCAAAATAAGACTTCCAGATGACCTTCGAATACACCAAAAGATTTTTAATTTTGCGAAAAATACGGTCGATGTCGCTCGATTTGGGTATTTGCTACGTTTTGAGTTTTCAAAGCACAAAAAGTCARCAAATTAAAAATTCAAACTTGTTAATTTCGCTGAAAATGCGTGATTTAATTGAGGATAGATCGTCTGATAAGCGTTCATTATTCAAAAGAAGAGTTTTATTATTCGAAAAATTCTATAGCGAGAACACGTAAAAATACTCAGTCATGAATCTAAAGAAAGAAAGAAAGAAAGAAAGAAAGAAAGAAAGAAAGAAAGAAAGAAAGAAAGAGAGAAAGAAAGAAAGAAAGAAAGAAAAAAGATCTAGTAAGTAAAATTGCTTACCTGCAATAATTCAGCCAATTGCTCTCCAGTATCTAAGTTGTTTCCAACACGAACCCAGCGGATCAGTTTGTGGGAGATATGAGCGAAGTGAGTGTCTAGCACGGTCTTTCCTTCTCCAGCTTCAAAGTTGTTATACTCTAGCAAGTTTAGGTCGAAAACTTCGTTTACTTCAGCAAGATAAAGCAACACTGCAGTATTGTGATAATGCGTTATCTGTTAAAAAAGAGGTTTTTTTTAGCTGCAATGTACATGGTCTTTGCCTAGTTTATACAACATACAACATATCAGTCCATTGCTTTGACATTTTTTTCAGTGAAAAATTCTCCATAATGCAACCAAATTTTTGCAAAATTATTTTGTACACATGTAGATTTATGTGATTATCCTTGATAAAACACTGCTTCTTTTTTTCGGTATATTGCAATTTCAAATAATATAGGTCATACATGCACTAGCTCAGCAATTTTGAAAACATGACATTATCCATCTCTTCTTACCAGAAAACAAATACACATTGAAGCCTGGAAACACTTTTTCCATCCATCCAAAACAGATGTCCAATGCACTTTGTGTGAACCATCCATCTTGCTTTGTATCATCTGACCAAAGATCAAGAACCTCTATATGTGTCTCACCATCCACCTTTGCAATGACGTAGCATCCGTGTATGGAGATGCCACGTTTCCCATACCAATAACGCTGTATCTCTCTTGCATGCATACCCAACTCCAACTTCATCTTGTAGTCTATAATTGCCACTGCCTCGCCGGACTGTAAATTACTCATGACATGCCTGAAATAAATACACGTGTGAAGATTTATCTCCAAGTAAATAGGTGGGTTCACACTAGGTCGAAAGTAGGTCTAAAGTATGGAAAATACCTAAGTATATACTTACGGTTAAGTATCTACTTAGAAGAAACAACAGTTCACACTTCGATTGGTAAGTATATGCAAAAGCTTTATCCTGTCAATCAACTTGTCAATCAACTTGTTCGGCGGCAAAAGTAAACATGACCTTTGAACAGTTTAGTTCATTGCACGTATTCAATATTCAATGTACACCAGGAACATGCGTCCTCAAAATGTACTGCCTTTCATTTCCTTCATGCTTTTATTGCTGAATCATCTCCAGGCTGGATTACAACGACAAGCATTCATGTACATCTTAATACAGCAGGCTTTGAGAGAGGGGCAACGTAACAGACGTATGTTATTGTTGTTACGGCGAGAAGTCAAGCGCAGGCTTAGAGTCCGCAATTATACCAAGCGAAGAGCTTGGGCTTGGCCAAGACCTCAACACTGGTTTAGGACGTTGCTTGTAAACCCCCAATTAGACATTTTATGGAAAGAGCAGTTCCGTTTAACTCGACCAACGTTCGAACATATTTGCGACCTTGTAAGGGGGGAAATGGAAAAAAACGTGACACGAATGCGTAGGCCAGTACCTGTTGAAGAGAGAGTTGCACTGGGTCTTTGGCGTCTTGCAACATGTAACAGTTTCCGAACCTGTGGTCTACAATTTGGTTATGGCAAATCAACAGCCAAATGCATTTCTCACGAATTCGAGAGAGCCTTAGTGCGTATGAAAAATCGGTATATTTTGTTCCCAGCTACTCGTCAGGAGATTCAAAGCAACATGGATGCTTTCGAGGAAAAATATGGAATACCCCAAGTGGTTGGAGCCGTAGATGGATGTCACATTGAAATTAATGGAGCTCCAGATAACAAAGAAGATTATTTTAACAGAAAGCAGTTTTATAGTATAAATTTACAGGGAATAGTCAACAAGGACATGAAATTTATTCATGCTTCTGTAGGTTATCCTGGAAGTATTCACGATTCTCGAGTATTAAGACTCAGTGGAATATATGACTTGGCTGAAAACCAACAAATACTTCTTGGACCCACCAGAACCATTAATGGTGTCGAAATAGGCCCTCTTCTGGCAGGTGACAGTGCATAAAGTTGAAACCTTGGCTAATGAAACCGTACGTCGATAAGGGTCGTTTAACACAGCAACAACAAAAATTTAACCGCGAGTTCAGCGCTTTACGCGGAGTCGTCGAACATGCATTTGGTATGTTGAAATCCCGCTGGAGAATTCTTCTGAAAAAAGTAGAACAGCGACTAAAAAGTATGAAGACAACAGTAGTTGCAGCCTGTGTACTTCATAATATTTGTATCGAAATGGGGGACTTATACGATTCAGATGATGAAAGCAGCTCGGATGATGATAGTTCCGATGATGACGACGGAGGTGGCTGTGCGGACGGTGATAATATCCGAAATGCGCTTAAAGATTATGTATGTCACAATTTATAAAAATACGCACTAGTTGTTACACACAATAACTACACGACTATATATTTTAATCATGTATTGATTTTTTATTGTAGAAACTCTGTATGCTATCCAGAAATTCGATATCAATTATATGAATCTCCCATTTCATTTCACTATAACCTCAACCATTCAACAGTTCAACTATCCATTGTATTAAATCATGTCAATATACTTTTTATATGGGTATAATTGTAATTAATGATTATGTCAATAAGATGTACAAAAAAAAGTCATCTGACAGATAACTTGAAAAAATTAAGGTGTAAATATGTTATTGTTTGAATGGATTGCTATATTATGTCCATGAACACTTCCCAGCTCTTATATATAAAATAAAACTTGCACAATTGCCGATTTTAATTGTGAGATTTGCGTTTTTTAAATTTAATTGATTGGTTAATTGGTTGAATGAATTAAAACTGGAACAAACGAGAAAAAAATGTAAATAAAATGTGAAATGTAACATTTACAACTATTTAGTCCTTTTTAGACAAATCTTTGAAGATGCCCTGAAACCCCTTAAGAATTTCATTTGTTTGTTGCATCTGCTTATTTTGACTTTCCTGAAAGGTTTCCATGCAACGTTCGAAATGAGCATTGTCTTCCTTAATGCTTTTTTCCCACATTTGTAAGAATTTCTCGTCCCATTCTTGTCCTTCTTCTTCACTATCCCTAGGTCTTTTCCTGGTACTCTTTCTTCCTTTCCCTTTACCTAGCAAAACGACAAAACATAAATAAAGAAAGAAAGAATTCAAATGAACAAACAAACAAAAAACAACTAACTAAATAAATAAGATCAGCAAAATGAAACACAAAACAGTTGGATGTTATTAGATGGTATGAGCTTTTTTCGGAGTTTGCCCACTGGTATAATTTATTATGTCAGTATACAATCGGGGACAAAATGCTTGAGACAAATCGCAAAATGTGTGCATATTTAATCGAAGTACTTGCTGTGAGTGCTCCCCCTTCCCCCTCTAAGTCAATGTTTGGCTTGGTATGGTACACAAGGTCATGCACAGCGTGGGCTACCTGATACAACTTTGATATAAGCGGAGGGGGGTAACTTTAACTAGAGTGATTTAAATTGCAGCATTATAAGATTTATGTTCGGCTGTATCAATTTAAAAATTGGTCTGAAGTATTTATGTCTGCAATTGTAGCTTTACCTGTTGTAGGCGTAGTGTCCTTGTCCTCCTTTTTCCTAGTGTCTGATTTTGGGGAATCTGCATCGGAAGAACAGTTTGACGTTGATGGCGTGGAGGGCTCTTCCCCAAACACCGAGCTCCCCTCCAGCTCCATTTTGTCTGGGTCCACACTGTCGCGGTGTCCCATAATATCATCCATTTGATCAAAGTAGGGGAATCCCTCTTTAATCTTTTTTATTCCCTCTTCCCCGGTGTTTCTCATCCTCTGTTTCGCATTCTTGAATTCATAATCTAAATTCTGGATTCGTTTTTTTATTTGAGGCAAAGTCCTTTCGGACTTTCCCCAGCTGCGCTTATACACTTCATAAATGTTATTCCAAATTTTTGTTTTTTCTTTATTACTGGCACCCTTTAGGTTTTGGTAATACTTTCCCCACGCTTCTATGAGCTCTAGCGTTTCGGGCTCTGACCAGTCGGCCGCTTTCGTCTTCTTGTCCTTCTTCTGTGTTGCTGCATTTTCCGACCTTAAGTCGGTAGTGGTAGAGGCACAGTTATCAAGGGAGTCTGGCTGTGATGGCTGCCATGGCCCGTTTCCACTGGACGGGAAGACAAAGCCGTATTTTGGTGCATATGCGGCAGAACCACGGGCTGATTCAAAAGATAGTGGTTGGGATTGTAGCCCACGAGGGTTACTGGTCGGGAAGACAAAGCCGTACTGCGGCCGTGCGTATGTTGATCCGGCTTCAGAGTTAGCAGCGGCGGATCCACGAGAGAGTGGCTGCGATTGTACTCCACTTGATGGAAAACCAAGTCGGTACCCCGTTGGATACGATGGTCCAGGGTTAGTGTTTAGGTCGTTCCTGTACAAGAGAACACGTGCATGCATTTATATTAGGGAACTAACTTTTGTTTGTTTTGCCATTTGTTTGAAAAATAAGAGTTATTCGACTTACATGAAGTTGTAGTTAGATGGATCACCGTTTCAATTTTCATCCATGTTAAAATCTGCTGAGAACTTTGCGCTTTAGTAGTCAGTTGTGAAACGTAACGTGTACTGCAGAAGGCCAAACAGGTTATGCAATGTGAACTTTGCAATGTGAGACCCATTTGATGACAGCAAGGAGTGACATTTACTGTTTTTGTAAGGGATTAGGAGGTTCCAAAGTAAGGTCCACGTCCTACTTGAAATCGTACTTCGGCCTCTTTGAAGAGCAACCGTTACCATAACGACAAAGTATATTACTTAGTGGGACCGGAAAACCGTTCACACCCAAAGTATAACCAAAGTATACTTGAAACATACTTAAGACCGCTAGTGTGAACCCACTCAATGTTCTTTCCTACGTGTTTTGAAATGTCTGATCGTTTGACCGACATAGCAAACATTGGAGCTTGCACAACAGAATTTATAAACAACACAGGACTTCAATTAATTTTTTTTAATTAATTTTTTATTAATGTGTAAAAAAGAATGACATCGTAAATGTACATGATTGGACAATTTTCTTATATTACCTGTAGTATTCACTCTGATGTTTGGTTCTGACAATGTGACCCACATATTCAGAAAATTTCTTTTTGAAGTCGTTTATGTCTTTCCTGTATTCTTCTCTTAAAGGGGAAGGAGTTTGCACTATAGCAGCATCCACTTTGTTGTAAATCCTGTAGACTACGTTGTACTCTTCCGAATTATCAGGATGGTCCATGGCACAGGAATCAAGGGCATGATTCATGCACAGTTCCAAACAACTAGAGTGCCTCTGAGCCTGGATATAAAATAATATTTAAAAGGAACATTATTTTCTTGTAAACAAAACAGTAATACACTAGTTAATAATTCATTAGTTTCTAGTTCAATTATGGCATTCCAGCTTAGTCACCATATAAACATTTAGCTGCATAAACTCCATGACTGACTGCACTTATATATACAATGTATATATACACCAAAACACAAAAATTCTGCTCCCTAATATATATATATTTAAAATATTATATATTTTGTTTACCTATTGTTTCATCCTCTCGAACAAAAAATAAATATATCTATATGTATTTCTACTGATTATTTACTTTGGTTATTTTACACCCAGTTCACTTCTTTTTCCACCACAAATAAATATTAAACTTTTGAATTATAAAATGAAAGCAGATTACCTCATTTGAAAATCTTGATTTGAGATAGCGCTGCAAGTGTCTTATATCTTTCACAACACCATTTAGGTCCTCATGGAATTCAGCTGACAGGTTTTTCACTGTTGTTATGAGGTTCTCGAAATTGGAATATCCAAAGTCCTCGCATAGGTTGCACAATCCTGCCAGCATTGAATTTTGGTGAGTTCTTTGGTATGTGTGCGTAGATGTATGTGCGCTTCACTCCATTTGGAAACTCCAGGAGATATTGCTGTGTTAACGACTTGATGGAATCTTGCCAATAGCGCACTGGGCACTCCTCTTTGTTAATTACAACACTCCTGCATGAAGATGGCCTACATACATTATCCCTGACTAGGAACTCTGCCAAGCCATCAAGTACGTCTTGAGACACCTGCTGCCTTGTGAACTTCATAGAAGATGGAGGCACCCCACCACGACCAAACAAGATACGGTGGACTCTAGCTGCAGTAACTGTGCTCTTTGAACATTTAAAGAGCCCAGTAAGAAATGTCTGTGAATAATCTGATGCTACAATAGACAATAGCCTTCTTCTTTCCGCACTGTATGTATTTACTCTCCCCATATATTTTGCAGCATCAACCCTGTTACTAAACTGCCCAGGTGGTAGCCCCAGTGAATTGTTGGTCGACTCTTTGGTAGCTCCAATCTTGATTGTTTGTTGAAGCCCTTTCGCTTTTACTCTTATTAAGAGATTGTCCTCTCTATTTTTGCACATCTTGTAGTCATCCGCAAGACTGTTCAAAAATTTTGAGTCATTTGTCTTGTTGGGAGCATGTTGAACATTTCCAAACGTAGATCTGAACTTTCTTGATCTCAATACTTCTTGCAGCAATTCTGCCACTGAGGACTCATCACCATGGATGTAAGATAGTAAACCTGATTTAGGTTGTTGACAATAGCTGTCCTAATCTCTGTTTTTACACGACTTCCATACTGTTGGTATGGAAGCCTTGGATATGATTCTACTGCTTGAGTTGCCTTACACATTTGTTTCTCTCCCTATTTGAATTGGGTTTGAACACAAAATTGCCATGGTTATTGGGCAGCTACATTTGTGTAGGAAATATGAATTAGTAGCCATCCTGTTTTGTGAATACATACATTTAATCAAAGAATTGCATGATGAAGCATTGAAGTTTTTACAATATCACATAAATGTTTGCAAGTAACTGGTAGACATACACAGATTTGTTAGGATATAAAGTAACTTGCATATACAACATAGCACAGAAATACATTACGTATTGTACTTATAAAAGTAAATAGTTCAATATTCACTATATATAATAATAAGGGGAGAATACACATTATAGCAAGCTAGGTCACTGGGCAAATTATCATTGTTTATCTGGGGTGGTGCATGTACAGATGTAGGTTCTGGCAAAACAGACAATTCTTGCTCTTGGTTACAATGCTGAAACATCAAAACAACAATCAAATTGAGATATGGTACAGTACAAATGTATGTTATTTCTTCCAGCTCAATGTGTAAACTAGTCTATCTACTGTAATAGAGAAAGAGAATACTGCCTAGTGACCACTCTTTTACCATGCATGGTTACAGATTGGGATGTGACTATATGGCAGCAAGATAAACAATTATTAATATTTACCTGGGGTGGTTCAGATGCAGAAGCAGATGCATGTATGAGTGGGGATTCATGTGGGTCATCGCAATGCTAAATCAAAACAATAATGGCATATATGTAAATTACTACAAATGAAAGTTTAGACATCATACATGTATGTATGCATGTTCAAGCTAGATTGCTGTTTTTTCCTAAAATATTACCTGGAATAGTGGTTCAGTTTCGAATACAGGCAATGATTCTTGTACAGAGCTTTGATACTGCTAAAAAAAGACAATAAATAAATACAAAATAAATAAATCTTCAACACAAAAAGTTTATATGTATGCATGCATCCTGAAAACAACAGTCATCAAGCTATAAGCTAAGTCTTGAGTTTACATACCAGATCTTGAGATTGTTCTTCGATGTTAACTGTCAAATTGTTCTAGAAAAACGTAAAGGAAATCAGTCAGTATTCTGCTTATATCCGTGAAAACCTGTTGCATTTACCAATCACAAAAACATTTGTCGAGAACTTGGTCAAAAAGCCTTGTTACTACCTTATATAAAATTATGCAACACGTGAGTTCTCACCTGAAGACTTTCAGCCAGATTTTCACACACGGTTTCTATGGGAATTCTGTTTCTACAAAACTGGCATATATCTCCTTGTCCTGCCGACATCGCCCATCGGTAAGCTTGCAAAACTTCTTCTCCTTCTCTGTGGCAATCCAAAGGATACCTTCCGAACTATGTCCCCAAAAGACATGTTGAGGACAACAACAAGATGCCTTTCGAGGCATTGAAACGTTTCACATCATTACAAAATCGACGCTACTAACTTGACAGAGAACTTTTTCAATATTTCTAAACACTTAACGAAAAGGAATATGTAATTGAAACGTATTATCGACTTTTTATGGCTTGCGTTAGAGTCTTCGATCGCTAAATTCAAGATGGCGTCGTTTCACAACTCGAGCGTAAGGGACGTTGGCACCAGTTCCCCATATCACAGAACAATATTATTGACAGAGACAATAGATTTTAGGACTAGGCACGAGACTAGAAAATAATATATGCAAAAAAGTAATTATCTACCGGGGTTTTCAATGATTTTCGATCATCGGCCAATCAGAAAGCAGCATTTTTGTTTRCCTATCAGATTAACCTTTGACACTAGAAATTATCGCCTGCGCCAGGAGTGCCTACTTCTTACACGGAACGTTACTTAATGAGTCCGGACATGAGCACTGATAACTCATGAATACAGATGTTACACTGTTCACACCTTACCCTACAATGATTGTCTGGACAATTCTGCTGATTTGCCATAACTTTATACTTGTTTTTATGGTCATCTGATGACACCACCCATTCTTTACACTCTTGAATTTCTTTCACATCATCTATTGACATCATCAAACTTTGTCGGTGCCTCTTATGAATGTTGTTCATACGGTATGTCAGCTTTCCTTTTGTTATCTTGATCATTCTATCAAATGCTTTGTCACGCACGAACTGAATAAGATTTACCAGACATTTGTCTACCCTTTTGTTTACTTTACCTTTAAGGTAATTTCTTTTGAAGACTCTGTGGAATACTTCAGCATACATATTTGTGTTAATGCCCATTCCTTGCCTGTAGCAGTATGCCCACTGAGATATTTTAGGCACCCATTCTTTTTCAAAATAGTTATGGAATTCACTTGTCTTTTGAACATTCTTTAAGTGGTGAATGAAAGACTTTAATAGCCTTGAAAAGGTTTCTTTGTTTGTCTCTGTGAGTAGAGTCCTAAGCATCTTGTACACCTCCTCTTGAACTGATTTATCTGTAATTTTCTTCTTAAGCTCAAACTGCCAAGCCCTGTCAGTGTGCCACGTACATATCAGTTTTGCTGGTTTATGTTGCATTACAAGTACCCAAGCATTATAAAATTGTGGAGCCATGTCACTCATAAAAAACTTAGAGTGAATGGGACCACAATTATCTTTAACTTCATTACAAAATGTGCAAAGTGTTGTTATGTCTTCATGGCTTGACAAACACCAAGCAACTGGAAACCCTTGTCCAAACTCATCAATTACCAGTATAGTTGAGAGACTGAAATCGTAACCATTTGTGCCATGGGCTGAGTCACAGCAAACACCTTTATGCCCAAATTTTATGAGCATTTCTTTTTGTAGAGGTGTCTGCACTGCCACAAAGAAGGAATTCTTTTCTAGGTATTGCCGATCCTCTGCTTCTTGACCTTGCAGTTTGTATGCTAAGATGGGGTTGTGCTCTTCTTTGCTCCATTCTTCAATCCATGACAGCACACTCTGTTGGTCATTTGGATGACGTTGTACATCTTTCAAGCCATAGGCTCTTTCAATGTTTTGTATGTCTTTTCGTTCTAAAAGGTGGTGTCTACTTATGGTTTCCTTTACTACACTATTTCTAACATCTTTTAAAATTTTGTCCTTACACACTCCTTGCTTAATCTGTGCAGCAATTTCATTTTTTTTCTCCAAAGGCAAGCGGAGATGCTGGATGTCAGAACCATGGCCATAGTGTGTATAAATGGCATCAACCTTGACCTCTCCATCTTTGTTTATTGTCGCCGTCAATGTGGTATTTAGTGAACGAATTATAAAAAGCTAATTTCACCTTGAGTTTTTGATCTCCTTGTTTTTTGCCAGTCTTTGCCATGACGATATGACCCTCCTCTATTACACTTAAAGTACTTGGTGAAAGTTTTGGTATCTTTGTTGTATTTATCTCCAGTATTTTTCACAAAAGAGCACTGCTTTAACTGCTCAATTTTCTCTTTCCATACTTCAAAGTCTTAAGAAAATAATAAATGATATTAGAAGCTGTTATCAAAATGTGATATTGCTCTGGAGAAAGAAATTAATTTATACATAGCATATATATTGTTCTTAAACTGCAAAATAATTGTTTGAATAATATGCTGCATGAAATGATTGTATAATTGTATAGACAGTATTTAATGATTTATAAACATTCCCATCATTAAGTACTATTTATCATTAAATAGTGTCTGATGAGTGCGTAAGCAGGAAACTCGGAGTTACAGCAAATCTTGCCATACAATATGTACTTAGCTCTACACTATAAGTGTGTTGAGAACTTCTAAATGGGATCAGCTACCTCCTCATATCATTGTATAATTATTCATGTGTGTGTTTAATTACACTTCCATAAAATTATTCAGAACATTGATGCAATATTATGCTTTAGGAAAATATTGAATTGGAATGAGTTAGCATTTCTGTAGAAATATACCAACCTGTATAGTTCAAGAAATTTACTGTTTCCTCCTCGAGCTTAATCCCATGGACTGAAGTCAAATGTAATCTGAGATCTGAAACTCTGTGACACCTAAAGTCACATGAAAGACATTTGCTGTTTCCATCATCTGTATTGCTGCCATGTGTGTTTTTAATGTGTCTCTGCATGTTTGACTTGATTGTAAATTTTTGTTTGCAATGTGGATACTTGTATGATGTGGATGGTTTCATAGGTTGTCCAGGTGGTGTGGCTGTGGATGGTTTCGTAGGTTGTCCAGGTGGTGTGGCTGTGGATGGTTTCGTAGGTTGTCCAGGTGGTGTGGCTGTGGATGGTTTTGTAGGTTGTCCAGGTGGTGTGGCTGTGGATGGTTTTGTAGGTTGTCCAGGTGGTGTGGCTGTGGATGGTTTCGTAGGTTGTCCAGGTGGTGTGGCTGTGGATGGTTTCGTAGGTTGTCCAGGTGGTGTGGCTGTGGATGGTTTCGTAGGTTGTCCAGGTGGTGTGGCTGTGGATGGTTTCGTAGGTTGTCCAGGTGGTGTGGCTGTGGATGGTTTCGTAGGTTGTCCAGGTGGTGTGGCTGTGGATGGTGTCATAGGTTGTCCAGGTGGTGTGGCTGTTGGTGGTTTGGTTGGTGATGTAGTTTGAGTGCCATTGGGGCTTATAAGCTTTGCACTATAAAAAATGTGCACATAATGAGCAAAATATTGTAGTTGTGCTACTTAATGTGTACTTTTATTACCTTTTCCTGTTTCTCCAAAGGGCCAGAAGCATGTTATTTCTTATCTTTGGAATGTCTGTCTATAGAATATTTAGAATATCAGTTAATATTATAATTACATAAATATCCTGTGTTTGAATTTGTTGGAGCCTAGTTGAATGTTACGCTAGGACTGAGTTTTAGAATACTCAATTTATTGAAAATGAAATCCAGCATCAAGTTGATCAACATATGACAAGTTTCAAAGAACTTAAACAGCCATACATGCCAGCTAGGTGACCCCCTTTTTCATGATAGGCGCTGTATATCTGACATTTTTTTAGGAAAAAATGTGAAACTTAAAAAATCATATTCCCATCATGAATTTAAGAGCTATAAACTTTGGATCTTTATCATTTAATTATTTTTCTAAAATCAAGTATTTTAAAATGTTATTTTAACTTTAATTGATAAAGGTCTATTGTAATCATGAATGCTTTAAATTGTGTGAAAAGCTGAAAGGGTGCTTCCCTTCTACACAACAGGTGATATTCTAAAAAATGAAATTATTTGTAAGTGAGAGCAGAACAATTTCGATTTTGTCTGATTAAACAATCAATCAAGTACTAAACTTTAACAAGAAGGAAGAGAAGTTCAGTGTTTTAGTACCTTTAGCATGAATAAACCACAATCATAGTTATTCTTCTGCTTTGGGATATCTCTTTCCTGATGAATGAAGCAATTTTAATTTTATAAATAATTCTCTGTGTTCAAAAATTATTTTAAAGACAAAATGTTGGAAAGAAAAGTACCTGAAGTATCTTATTCTTCCACCCTTCCCATAGCATTGGAAATCCTGTTTTGTTTACGTGTACCTCATTTACAAAGTCCATGAGAAGGAAATTAGTGCAAAATTAGCATATTAAGTTTAACGCCATTATATATTCAACTGAATGGAATGTCATGATTACAGATTATATTTTTAATTACCTTATTCTTTCCAGCACACTCTCTCCTTCTGTACCAAACTTTGATTCAAAGTACTGTAACACGTTATTTTTTTAGATCGACCACCTACATGAATAGTCGAGAAAAATTAGGGAAATCCAACTTTCTTGAAACGTAATTGTTAAATTGTTATTTAATCTGAAAAAAAAAATCATTTTTGTCATTTAGAATTCATGTGTTGACTTGAAAAGAAAATTAAGATAAGAATGCATCTGCAAAACCTTTGAATGTATAATAAATTACTATTTAAGTATTAATGCTATGCTTACCACTGCTGTCCAATGATTTTGAGAAATGTTTATGGGAAAAACCCAGAACATCTTTGAAAATAAGTCGGTCTTGACCTATAACATAGTGACAACTGTGTTTAGTTATAATTAGAATCCTGCTTTTATTCATTTGTTTTGTCATAAATTATGCATTTAGTAATACAACTACCTTTCTTATCATTCGAAGTGCTGACTGCCCACGCAATAACTTGTCATGTAGGAAAGAGCTAAAGATGAATGCATCCTTACCCTAAAATAATAATTTTATAATTATCATAATTAGCAATGTGAAAAAAAGTGAGTGAATTGGGATGATTATAAATAATATAAGCTTAAGTGAGATCATACCTTCTGTTTGAAATCATCAGCTAATATGGCTAAGACTCCATTTACTACCTATTATACATGCATCGAATCAGAATATGAACGTACGTTTCCTTATATATTGTAGGTAAATCAAAGATACATGATGTATTAAGTTACCTTGTTTTATATATGTTACAAGCTTTGTAATCATAATGATATTATTTAACCATGAGATTTTTATGTATACCTCATCGTTAAGCCAGTAGTCTGATACATTGATCCAGCTGGTTTTAGGTGGCACAGCTAGGCGGCGCAGAGATGCCCTTGTAATTGTCACAGATGACATCAAGAAGGCATCCATATCCCCTTTCACTTCAACTACAATTTCGTCCTTATTCTTGTAAGGTCCAAATACAACTGATTTTACTTGTTGTAAGTCTGCATGAAAAAAAAAAGTAAAAATCTGTCAACAGGATTATAATGTTAAGAAGTAAAATAGTCTCATAATGAGTATGACTGTGTAATTGGTGGTTCTAATGTCTTGATAATAATTAATGAGTATTAATTCAGATACTTAAATAAATCAAAAATGATTGTATGAATATTAAAGATTCAATAGAATATTTTGGTCACTTTACTAGAGAATCAATTCCAATCTAGATTTCAATAACCAGAAAGCCAACATTTACTCAATAATATGAAGATCTTGAAATTGTATAGACAGTAATACCTTTGTTCTTACATTCCACCTGAAAAATATAACCATACATCAAATAAATATTGTAATAAGGGTATTGCAATCAATTGGACTATACATTTTTGTTTTAATGTAACTTATTTTCCTGGTTGAACCAGAAGCATATTGGCATTTATGGATCCTTACTTTAGTGTCTGCAGATGTTTCATAAAGAAGTATGTATGCTTTGGCACGCTGAACATCAGCGAAAGGGACAGGTTTTACCTGCAAAAGACAATTACACCTTAGTTGTTAGGGACATAATAAACTTTAACAAACAGTCATGGATACTTTGGAATTTTAGTTTACATGCATACCATATGGTCATCTATCTTGTACCACTTTGATTTCTTTAAACAATATGCAATGTAATGACCACTCCTAGAGCGGATTTCGTATGAGTGGGACACCGTTACCGCACGGTTACCGCACAGTTACCGCACCTGGCCTGCAGAATTTTGGTGAAACAAAGGGGCACTAGAATTTGGTTACAGTACGATTACGGACACAGTACAGTACCGTCCGTTTCCCACTCATACGAAATCCGCTCTACATGAGCTTCCTTCATGTACAATTACTGCTTTCAGTGAGTAACATAGATCCTTGAATCAAATTGTTTGAGTCATGAGAGAAACAAAACATGTTAGATATTAATTACATTTATAAATTTAATGCACATCCTGCATTGTGTGAAGTATTAGCAGAAATCATGATGAAGTTATTAGATGCTATACATACTTGTGTATTGTAGTTATAGTAGTAGGAATGAGATAATTTTAGCTTCTCACTGAAGCTTACTCGCGATAAAATCTTTCCACGTCCATAACTGAACCTAATAATTTCAAATGACCTGATTAAGTCAATGGCCATTAAGTCATATAAAACTGAAGATCTTTGTAGTGTCAAATAATTAGAAACTTCCACATTCTGAAGGACTTGAGAAATTTCACTAACAACTCACCTCTTTAGATGTATCAATAAACATTTGGGTGCCTTTGAAATGCAGCTACTTCTCTATGCACCGTGAGCTTTGCATCTGATAAAGCAGCAAAGTACAAACATGCAAAAAAGGGAAAGAAAATATACACATGCTTAGGGTGTTACCTAATGGTACCATTAAAGCAGGGTCATCAATCAGCAAAACAAATCATGCAAAAATGTTCCTTTAAACATAGTTA